CTGTACTCTTGTGATGTGACAATAAATCTGATTTGATTTGATTTGATTTGAACCCCAGTCTACAGCGTAGATGTTACCCACTACACTATACCAACCACAAATCATACCCTGCAGAAACCAACAGTAATTATTTGATCTATGTGATCTATGTGTGCTTTTGATTAGGGTCAGTGTGCAAAATACCATTAGGCCCCCCATGAACCTCTGTCTTTCACACCTTGATTGGAATAACAGCAGAAATATTCGATTCTTAATCTGTGTCACAAGATTAAGATCACAAGATTGTATCACAGTGTGAAATCAAGGACCACTAGGCTAAGTGGCAGTCAGACTTGTACATGGTTATGTACCACTTCCTTTCACTCCATTAGCACCCTCTGTTTAACCATTCCTTTACCAGCTCACTGGAACAGATTACTGTTTAGAACTGCTTCTGCTCATTTGTACACACTGTAGAGTATTGTATTTTTCCATTATTATTTTGTAGGTTTGCATTTCCATACTACTAGTATGTTTGTTTGCACCGAATAATACAGTATATCAGTACTTTATCAATGGCACTAACAAGGCACTAAGAATGTTCTTGTATAGTGAAACTCACTTTTTTGTGCATATGACAATAAAGAACTTCACTTGCACTTCACTGTCCAGTATGACCCATGTCTTTTCTTGCTTTTTCAAACAAGACACCATTGAGGATTCAGCAACACTTTTAATGAAAAAGCTTGACATGGAGGTCATATCATTCTGAATTAAGACTTTATGAATGTGCTTTGCATTTTTTTATCGTCTAACACCTGTGGTGTTACTGTGGAAAATTATTAATTGCCACTAGACAGTGGTTTTCATAATTCTGAATGCAGTTGTTCATTACTGGTAATGAAGGATGTTCAGACCGTAAAATAAATTGATTTGCTATTCCGTACTGCTACATGCCTTATTATTAATCAGTAATCATTTCCTGTGTGCCTAGTCCAAGACAGTGAAATTATCACAGACAAGTGGTGATGAACTATGTGATGTAATTTATCAGGACTTGTCATGGTTTTCTGGAAGTGCTGCCAATCCTTCCACTTCAATAGCCTACGCTGTACTAAAATGGTCCATATAACGGATTTTTTCTCACATTTTTGAAATAAGTTGTTTGATGCATCATGCATCATAAACTTGCCCTATATAGTTTGCATGTCTGATATGCTCTTGAGTTGTCCTACCATGTTAAATTCCTATATACTCTGTACATTTAGCAAATAAAGTGATTCTGATTCAGAACATTTCAAGTTTCAAAACCTACCATTTATGCCCCAGTCTGGACTGCTTTTTGAGCACAGTAACAAAAACAGCCATTTTTAATTGTAAGGGATAAAGAGACATTGGAAAACAGAACATGACTGTTTTTGGTACATAAACCTCATAAATGTTCATATAATGGACCAGAAGGAAAAAAGGAAAACACAAGAAAAATAAAGATATGGGCCTTTCCAAAAACATACATTCAATAAAAAAACAACATACAATGGTTTAAAGGTTCAACTACAGAAAGCTTAAATTAGCTTCACATTATAAACGTACAATAGATGTTATTCATACATCACACTTGACGGTCTAAATGCAATTAAGAATTATGTATATTATGTATATTTTAATTTCTGAGCACGTTTTATTGTACTTTTAAAAGGTGGTAATATCTTTTTTCTGGTGCTTTTCCACCATTCCGTCACAGGTTATATGTTTCTTGAACTAATGCACTCTGATCTGCAAACATTCAGGAAAATATTATTAAGTCTTTGTTTTTGACTTCTTATTCATGCCTGCGCATGTCACCACTTTGTGCTATCAAGATTCCCATCCAAATCAGTGAACCACAGGCCAGACAGACATCTGCCTCAATGTTTTGTTCCACATAGACAACTGGAAAAGTCAACCAAACCAACCTGTAAGTAAAAATTGAAAAGCTAGACTGGACTAAAATTAATGTCTGCTGCTATACGAGACTGTAAGATAAACAAATAAGCTTAACTGAAGCCAAATGTGAGGACCGTCCAAAAGAAAAGTCCCTTACCTCTTAAACAACTGGAAAATTTTGACTTTGGCTTAAGGGAAACTGCATTGACTGGCATACAAGCAAGTGTAAATAGTACACAAAATAATAGCAGCTGTGCAGTGCTACTGAATAACTCTGAATAAGCCAGAATTCTTTTGAACACCTAGGGCCAGTTTTGCAGACCCTGATTAAGCATAAGCCATGACTAATGGGAATTTCCAGTGGTGATTTACCACTGTCTCTGCAATATAGTCCAATACACCTACCAGATATGCTTACCATACAGTCCAATTCACCTACCAGATACACCTACCAAAAAGGTGCACTTTGTACCAAAGATGCCATGCTTGATACTGAGCACCTACGTGGTAGGTGTACATGATAAAATGGCCAGGGAGTGTAGGTAAAATGTATGCCGACCTAATAAACTGGCAAGTCAATGTACTTCAAATACGCACTGTCTGGGAACACAATGTGAAAAAATATTGCCATGGTTGCATAAATTGTGCAAACATATAGTGCATTTGTACTGCAATTATACATCAGATTACATGTAGCACGATGTAAAAATTTCATGAACTTGTTTAAGAGACAATAGTAGAGAAGGTGAGAAATAGATGGTGAAGATGTTTTGTTCGAGGGAGACACTAAGACATAACTCCTCATCGCACAACACATAAATCATGCTCCTAAGGAGGCAGGAAAAGAGAAAGAGAACGTGCTGGCTCAGCATCCGACCAATGGAACCAAATAAAGCACAGAGCCTATGCTGTCTTAACACTGAACCTAACTAAATCTGTACTCTGCGTATGTAAGAAAATTCAAATAGTCAATAGCCATGCACCACTAAAAATGGGGGGAAAACAGCCCAATGTTGTGATAAGTTTGTTGAAATTACAACAAAAGTAAGTGATTTCTTCAAATTTCATTCACACAAAGTCATAGAAAATACTATGTCCTCAATTCCGCCCCATTCCTAAACTCCTTATTTGCTGTGAATTCTCTCAAATTTGCTATCGTGAGGCAGTAAAACACTCTGTTAACCAAGTCAACAGTCTGTTGAACACAACATAAAGTGGTAGCTGTTCAGATTTTGACCTTTGTCAAATATGTGTAGAGTAAGGTATGGAGTATAAAGGCATAAGTGAAACACTTGAGAGCCTATAAAAGTCTCTTAAGCATTTAAAACAAAAAACTCAAAGGGAAATGTGTGTGTATGCATGCATTTTACTGAGTCAGAAGGCTTCACTGAGACACTTTAATTAATAGTGTATTTAAGAAACATGGCTTTATAAGTAAATTTTTAAGATGAACTTCATCTAAATAAATGTCTTGCTTTTAATGAAGGTGAACTGGGCCAAGATATAGAATGCAGTTCAGCATGGTTCCATTCCACTGTGTTAACATCTTTACTTCAGTCAATCTACTGGTGTCTCAACATGAGACCTGTGATCTGTGTGCAGAGTAGCACACAGAACTTTAGCATGAAATTTTAAAGTCAAACCATCAATGACTGGTTCATTAAAATATATGTGTTATATTCAAATATATGTCTTTTTCTGAACTAAAATTGATTGCTCGATCATATATTGTCAAATCATAGCGACCCTTCCTCAAATGATGAGAAGCTCAATAGTTAGCAATTAACTATTTTTATGCTGTTTTTTAAGAATAGATAAACATTAAACAAAGCAAGACAAAAATACAAACACATTTACGTATAACTCCAAAGAGCTAAGTAAAAAAAAAATCACCTGAAAAATAACTGAAAACTCAATAGGGCAGATCTAGTGTGGATTTGACCCAAGCAGTTAAGCCAGCAGAGGGATAGATAGATAGATAGATAGATAGATAGATAGATAGATAGATAGATAGATAGGTAGATAGATAGGTAGATAGATAGATAGATAGATAGATAGATACATACATACATCATACATACATACATACATACATACATTTTTATATATGTACAGGAAGACACAAGGACAAAACGACAGTCCTTCAATGGCTAGACAGACACACAGACAGACAGACAGACAGTCCGGAGAGGCTAACAAGTAGACCAGAAAGATAATCAGTCAGACAAACTGGCTAACATGATCAAATAATGCTACACTTAAAATACTCTATAAAAATACTCTACAATATCTCTATAAAGTTCAATTGACAGCACGTAAATAACTGAGCAGAGACAATTATCATGATTCAACATTTCAAGCTTTTATTCAGCAACGTACTCCTGACTTGTCTCACATGTAGATATAAATTCAAAGTATCACCGTTTCGTGGTTGCCTTTGGTTCAGAACAACGAATTCGTCATTAATGGAGAAATCAGAGAGAGAGAGAGACAGAGAGAGAGAGAGAGAGAGAGAGAGAGACAGAGAGAGAGAGAGATAGAGAGAGAGAGAGAGAGAGAGAGAGAGATTATCGATGGGTATCCCACCGCAGATACACGCATTCAGCCACCCTCACGGTGAGCTGCTGTAATAGAACACTCTGCAGTGTTTTCCAGGGGAAAAGGGGGATCACGGCCCGATCTGCCAAAGCCACCACAGGACCGCTCAACAGCACAATGATGAACAAGCTCTCTAGAAACAGCAGCAGACGCCATGCACTCATACATGGTCTCATTAGTAGACTTTATTTGTAGACCACATTTAGAGACAACTGCCCCATCACCTGGTTCGTGACCTACGCTTATGAGCTGCGCTTGCATGAGATCTAAAAAGCTGTCTGATCTAAGCATGCATCCTCGTTAGGCTGTACTTTTCCTCCTTGCGCCTCACGTGCAGCAGAGTGTGTTTGCAGCAGGTGCGATTTTCCCCCGTGTCCCAACACCTTGACTCAAGACAGAAAGGTAGGGGGCAATGCCTCTTTCCTCGTTTTCCTACTGCTCTTCCCTTCCCTCGTTCCATCTCCCCCGACTTTTTCATTTCCCTACCCCCTCCTTACCTTGCGCTTCTTGTCCCGCGAGCGGCTCCTCCTCTTCGCCCTCTCCTCCTCCTTCTTCTCCTCCTTCTCTTTCCTCTCCTGCTCCGCTTGAGCCTCTAAATCCTTGTTCTTGCGCAGGTGTTTCGCGGCTTGTGCCATGGCGCCGCCGTTTTGGCCAGCTCGTGTTTGCTCTTGCTACTAAAGGGAAAGACTCGGCGGAGTGCTGGGTCTAATGCTGGTGAAGGTTTTTTTTGCCACCCGAGAGCGCAGCAGCGTCGCTTTTACGCAGCGCCGGAATGAGCCTGCTCACCCTCCTCCTCCTGCTCTCTCTCTCTCTCTCTCTCTCTCTCTCTCTCTCTCTCTCTCTCTCTCTCTCTCTCTCTCTCTCTCTCTCCCCCCCTCTCTCTCTCTCTCTCTCTCTCTCTCTCTCTCTCGTACTCTTCTGCAAGCTACGCTGCAGGGATTTCTCAGGCAGGCAGACCCACGAGTAACGATGTCCAACTCGTGAACGAATCGATTCTTTTGAAACCTCGAACCGTTTTATTTATATACGTTCGTGTCGTATATATTATCACAATACAATCGTACACAGTAAAATACGAACAACCTCACTGAATCCTCTGAGGTTTTCTATTACGTTGTGCGTTTCCGATCGGACGTTCGAATCGCACAGTTCAGATGAACCGGCTCCCTAAACTGAATCGACCTAGCCTTCACTATCCACGAGCCGTTTAGTGAGCGGAATGCTGCCGCAGCACAGCCAGCGTCTGTCCCTCCTCTCTCTCGTCTCTTTTGGTATTGCGCAAAGAATCAACGGTCGATGTACAGACACGAGACGAACAATGCAGGCTTTCCGCTGCGCGCTGTTTCTCACTTTGCCGCCGTTCTCCAGAACTGCCAACGTGCGCGGGCCAGTTAAATCGGATGAAAACATTAAGAAACTACCAATGAATGCTAATGCTGAATGCTGTCTGTAATCAATGGGATGCTTACCAGTTATTGACCGGCTAGTGAATCTCAGTGTTATTATCAGTCTCATAAGATCTTTTGGGGAGGTCAGTTCACACTGCTTGTTATGCTTGGATGCAGCAGGCAGTTTTCTAAGCCAGGGGAAGGAGTACTGCCTCATTCCATCCTACTGTACTGCTCCATTCTCCTCACCCCAGACGCAGTGATCAGGACCCATGAGGTCTGTTGTTGCAGCATATACATGTTAGGGTTCATATCACTGATTCAAGAGTGGAGGATGAGACGCAGCAATATGCATATATTTTGCAGTATTTTTCCAGAGGTTTGTGAACAAATTTTAGTAGTAGTGCAATGTTTTAAAAAGCTTTGAAAAGTTAAAAGTTATTTTATTTTTATTTATCTATAAAAATAAACAATTTAAGATGGAACATGAGGAGAAGTCAACAACTGGTAAAAATAAATGAATTAAATAATTGCATAGTGGACTGACATCCAGTCAGCTGCTATGCAGTTTTTTGCTCTTAGTATGCACTTGTTTCTCAGGAGATCAGAACGTGATTTATCTCAATAGTGATAACATGTCATCTTATTGCCTGCCACTGTGTCTAACAGGCTTAACTCTTACTCTCTCTTTCTGTCTCTTTCTCCCCCTCCTCTCCCTCTCCTTCTTCCACTTCTCTTTCTCTGCCTCTCTCTCGCCTGCTTCTGCCTGCATCGGGTTCCTTCAGGACAGCCAAGAAAGAGGCAGCTTCTTTTGTTTTCCATCTCTGGCAGAGTCCACTGTGTGTATGAAGCAGATAAAGCCTGCATCTCTTCTGTCTTATTGCTATGTATGTCTCCAGGGCTCTCTCTGTCTCTCTGTGTTTCACTGTCCTCCCTCTGCATTGCTGCTGATGCGGGCAAAAACACTTTAACAGCTCTCTCTCTCTCTTTCCCTTTCTCTGTAGCTCTCTCTTACTCAGTCTGTTTGCAATTTTAGAAACAGACGATAAGGGAGCCGAGCTAAAGGAAAAACAAGAGGAGTGTAAATGATGAATGGAAAAATGCACCATAATGAGTGCGTTCAATAGCGTCACAGGCAATAGTGCTTGAATGTGCTTGATTCACTAATGGTAATGTTGTGTGGGTATTAAGCATGCCATGCGCTGCAGCTTCTAAAAAAAGTAAAATGCTGGGAAAAAATAAAATAAATTTATTTACCCCTGCAGATGTAAATACTTCTGTCTTTGAAATGTATCCCATGTAAAATATTATTTGTAGTAGTAGCTGAAGTTGTAATCTTTCACCACAAATAGCCACTATGAACATTCAGGGCACCCTTTATGTGTGCTGTTTTGAATATATGAATTGCAGCAACCTTTAAAGCAATTATAATAGGCCAGACATTGCCCCTGAGAGAGACAGGTTTTTGTGCATTTTCATGGCCAACGTTGCACTGACAGGACTTAAAGTGCCCATATCATAGCTGCCAGCATCTGTTTCAAATTCCATATTTCTCACTGCATCAGTTGAGGCAGGGCATTGCATCGTATCTCAATATTTACTGTCAGGGAGAAAAGCAGTGTGAATAGTCATTGATCAAGGTTGTTGCATCCGTAGAACTCAAGTGGCATTCTTTAGCTTAATGTCGCAGGAACAACACAGTCTGACAAAATATGACATTAAAGGTATTATACTTTCTTCCCTGAGGTCCACTTATGATAGTTTTATGGGCTTATGTACCAAATACAGACATAATTTGTTTTTACATGATCATTTTCCAGCCTGTCTCTACCCCTCAGAATTTGACTGATATGTAAATGACCTTTGTATTGTGCCTTGTTGAAAAAGCAATCTGGGCTGAAATCCTCCTTATTATAACTTCGGTATGAATGGGCAGGGCTAAACTGCTGTAGACTGAATAGGTGGAGATATGCAAATATGTTGATTTGTATGAAATTACAAAAACAGTGAATAGGTAACAGGCTGTTTTTGCAGCTTAATTTTTTTATAAATGGCCTAGGGAGTGAATGTTAATTTTTGAAACTTTAACATCAAACTCTTTTCAGGTTTTTCAAGAATATCAGCATCCTGAGGCAGCATGCAGATTAGCAAACTGGCAATATAAGTAAAGATTAAGTAAAAACATTCTAAATAGCATGGTTTATAAAAAACAAAAACATTGTAAATTTGGTAGAATTTTTGACATTTTGTTCCAAAAAGACCATTCAGCTTAGTGTTTTCTTTTACATTTCTTATACTTACACATTTTACAAGATAAAAAGTCAATTCTTAGTTGACTTGTTGATCCATCAGTTTGTCTCTTGGTTACATATTTATCAGGCTAGGTTGAACCTCTACTTAGTTAGGTTAAGGAGTTAGTTACAGTCTAGCACCCATATACTAATCCTTTGTCATGAGAAGGTCATATACATTTGGCTCTGCATTGTTAAATATGATTTCTATTCTGTTTTTGTTTGCCAATAAAAAAAACAGTTTGATTATGTTTTATTTATACAACACATTTATTTTTGAACAGATGATGTTCTAAAGTGGATTTAAATCTGTGTCCAGACCCCTAATGAGCATCGTCAAGAATAACAGTGACAGGAAAAACTCCCTAAGAATATGAGGAAGATTCACTGAGAGGAAACAAGACTCAAAACAGGAACTTATCTTTCTCTGGTCAGAGTTATGATTCAAGTTTACAAGGAAAATTTAATAGAAGCGCTGGGATGATACAAAGCAAAGTTATGAAATAATCCACTGACAAATGTTAAAGAAATATTTTGACAACAAACCACAAACCAACAATAAACCAAATATACACAAATGTTCTCTTATCCAAAATATAGTCAGTCAGCTAAAACAATTATGTTGTGCAAACTTTGCTTTTTTGCTTTTTCCACTAGAGTTATAAAGGTTAAAGTTATGCAGCTAACAGGTAAAGTAAGCTTATAACTAACAATAACAACAATTATCAACAACTAACAACAATTATCATTATTAAAACAGCAAACAGCATCACACATTTACCTTAGCCATGTCCAGTTAATAAATGATCACAAAAAGTCTTGCTTATGTGTTTTCCGGCACAACATGGCACATAGTATTGTAGCGACCTGCTACTGGCGCTGGCTCCGAGGAGCTCAGGGGGTGTTAACATACTGGTTCCCTGAGGCTCATGGTAGGCATGCACCCTCTTAAAAGGGACTTGTTGTCGTTAATGTCACTGTTTGTTAGTTTAATGGTATGTGTATGTGTTTATTGTGTTGTTCTGTGTCAGAGTGTGTTTGCTTTGTGTTTGGGGTTGGAGTTGGTCACTGCTACTGATAACATCCCCCGTGAGTTCAGTGCTTTGTGTGTGCTTTCCTGCACTGGTGTTTAATAATGAGCACTTCTCATGATGGAATCATGGCCTCCCCTGTCTTACTTTAAACCCATGTTACAGTGGTGTCAGAGGTGGGATAGTGCCACCCAGCTGTCTGGAATAAAACTGCACTACAAAGAAGGCAGACAGTGAGAGAGGCAGAGCTTGGCAAAAGATCGTGACAGTGAGGACAGCGCTGCAAAGCTCCACCGAGAAGATGGCATGGCAAGGCTGTGTGATGGCGGTGCTGGTGAGAGGGAGGCTGGTGAAAGTGAACCATCAAAGGCCTTAGTGTGGGAACATGGCAAGCGGCGGAATGGTTGGTGACCCAGTGTTGCGGAGAGATAGGACACCGTGCATGCCTGGACTGCACGCCTGGACTGGCGGATGCCAGCCAGGAGGTTTAGAGGCGGCCTTGGGCTATAGGTCAAGTGCAGCGTGGACGATAGACAGCTCATCGCGCTCACCACCACGGGCCCGTCAACATCCCCACTGTGAGAGGGGCACATCAAACAGCTGGAAGGCGACCACAGTCTAGTTCAGGTCAGTCACCAGCAGCAGAGGCAGGGCCTCAGGGACCTCAGGGACTTGACACAGTGCCTGGCAGCAAGGGCACAGCCCAGGTGAAGACTAGAGGTGCTTGCCACCGAGGAGCAAGCGTCCTGCGATGTTTGTACTGACCGGGACCCAAGGACTTGGTATGGGCAGGCGAGTCATTGGGACGGTTGACTTTTTGAAGGGGAGCTATGCAGCAACCTGATACTGAATTGCGCTGGCTCCTAGGAGCTCAAGAGGTACAGTCCTAGTGTTTAATAAAAAACACTTTTCGTGGTGGAATCCTGGCCTACCCTGTGTCTTGCTCTACACCAACGCTAATTCTATAAAATTGGACAAGCACGCTGTATAGCCAAGAGGACACTGGCTGTGTTACTGTGTTTCAGACGCTGGTATACTGGTCAGCAGCAATGCAAGTTGATTTGCTGGTCAC